TTTTCTTCTTCAAATGAGTTATTTGACTATCGTCGACTTTTTAAAATGTAATAATTTCATTTGCTCTTGAAATGGTTTTAACAATTATTAGAAAGTAGAAAGCCAACATGTAAGAAGTTAATTGATATTATAATTTAATTCAGATAGTGCGAAACTATCATTATTTAGAACCAAATTGCCTTTGTTCATATTTATTATAGAAAAAACTTTCGTTAATAGATATTAATTTCATAAAAATATATAACTCTTTTTTATTACATATAAATATATAAACTAATTTTATTACTTCATTGATTAATATTTTACTATTTTATATATATCTAATTAATTACATATATATTTGATTGTAGTATTGATTATTAAATACAAATACTGTCATAATGATAGATATCAAAATTTTTAATTTATCGACATGGTATTTTGAATTCATATTGCACTTGGAATTCATGGGATTTAGACGACAATTGGGATTCATACAGAAATTGAGATTTATGCAGTTTTTGCTACAACTATAACCGTAGCTTGCTATATGTCATACAATTCATTGGAATAGTTCTGCCTGCATCTCTACTCCAACTCAATTAAGATATCACATAAAAAGGTGATAATATGTAAATTGGTGCAAATAATTCTAGACAATAGAAACATGGAAGAAAAATTAATAAAATTCTAATCAAGCGATGCTTTCTGCAATGATATTTAAAACTAAATAACGATAAATACCAATGCAGAAAATTAGCTCTACTATAACTGATGCTAATTCTGAATTGCATAAAAAACTATTGGTAGAAGCAAACCACACAACTCATTTTTGGAGGTGGTATATAATAAAAAAAAGATGTCATTAGATCTTATTGTTATATCTGATATTTTTTTTTCTAATTGTTTATCTGAAGTAAGACTACATATTAACATAAAAGATTTTATAAAATATATTGTAATCCTATTTATGGTTATTTGTTTTTTTAAAAGAAGCGCTGAATCGAATTGGTGGTGATACTAGATTGGGGTGTTAGATACCAAATAATTTACCCACTATGTGAGATTTTTAAAATTTTGTCGATCAATTTGTTAAAAAAATTTATAGTAGTAAAAACTATATATTTTAAAATGTCATAACTTCCTTCTTAGTAAAGTAAATTCGATTCTGTAATTTGCAAATAATATAAAAATAGCGTTGTTTTAAAACTATGATGCCATGTTTAATATTAATATATGAATTTTAGTAGGTCTCTATAATTTAATTAATTGTTTAAATAATATCTTTAAAACGTTCTAACTTCTACTCTAATAGAGCAAATTTAATTCTGTAATGTGTAAATAGTGTATAAATAGCTTGCTTTAAAACTATGTTGCAATATTTAATATATTTTAGTAGCTCTCTATAATTTTATCATTTAAATAATTGTTAAAATTTGTTAATTCGTAATTTTAGCCAAATTAATAAAATGAAGTAAAAAATATCTCAACATAGTTTTAAAAGTACATTATTTATATATTATTTACAAGATATATAATTGAATTTGCTCTACTAGAATGAGAGTTAGAATATTTTAAAAATATACTATTTTTATTATAAAAGGATTACTATAATAAATTCTTTTAATAAATTGAAGACAAAATTTTAAAAATCTTAAGTGGGCCAATCATATAGTGCTGTCCTATAATAGTAAATCATTAAGTATTTAATACCCCAATACTAGATGCGTTAGTTGATCATCAATCAGAGATTAAAAAAAATTAGAGTAGAGGGTGCAGTGCTTATTTTCCATATTTTACGTTAAGTTTTTTTCAGAAAAATAGACTTTCAACCCACTTTTACTTAATGTATTTTAAATTTTAATTTATAAAGTAATTAAAATTTTATTATTATCGAGTAAAAATATGAAAAATATACTTTGCAAGAGTACCACGTTGACTTTTCTGAATCTTAGTTGGAATAATAGACTTGGATCAGAAAAACAAAAAGTATAAGTTGGTGTACTTTGCAAGAACACTGTATTGACTTTTTTGATATATAATAAACTTGGATCAGAAAAGTATTAGGATGTACTTTACAAGAACACCAGATTGGTTTCTCCAGTTCTTAGTAAGAATAATCTTGGGTCAGAATACTTTTAGCAATTTAAATTGTATAGATTTAACTATAACAATAATAATATAGTCGTCCCTCCATATAGTCACCTCCCATATAGTCACAAACTCTATACAGTCACGTGATTTTAAATTCCCGTTTTTTTATTATGAAAATTCTCTCTATACAGTCACAACTATGCTATAATCACTATCACATTTTTTTAAAATTTGTTGAACGATTTTAATAATAAAACTCCTTCTATATAATTACAATCTAAAAAAAAATTTTTAACAACATAATACTGTATTTGATTTCATTTTCGTGAGCAAAAAATTATTTGCATTTAAACTTCTATAGAAAATTGATAATATAGTAATTCTGATTGTGAGAAATATTTCGTATTGTGATAAATATAAAGCGAATAAAGGTGGTGCCAAATATGTGGTCGCAACATAACAATTCGAGAAGAGGATAGTGGAAATAATGACGGTTGCATTAAAGAGTTTTAGCCAGAATTTTTAATTATAGATTTATGATCAAATAGATTCTATTCGATAGACTAAGCAATATTGAAAAGATTCTATATATTCTGCAACATGATTGGGTGATAATAAAAACTTCTAAAGGTCGTGACCAGAATTTATGGAACTCTTAATTGCTATGCTGAGTTATCAAGACGATTTGTAGATTTTGACTTACAAAAATGACCTTTTATCAAGAATATTGGGCAAAAATTTTATGAATGGGACAGAAAAGGTTTTAAGCATAATATACTTAGATCAACATGAACTATTGCATGAACCATTTAACAACTTTACTTGCTGGTGATTCATGGTTGGCCTACAAATTAACCCACAGGTAACCCATGGGTTGTCCACCCAGGTCCAATCACTATTGTCAGCGAAATGAGCACCACCAATTTACTAATTGGATTAATTTAAAGAAATGAATAATAGAAGACAAAAACTTGCAAGCTTTTAGCTAAAAGGATTTAATTCCTATAGTATTGCTTAAATATATCAGTATCCGAATTGAATTTTTCTACTAACTTTCATTTAGCATCACTCAAATAACTCTCATGTTAGTTATAAATAATAAGCATATTTGAGTATTGACAAGAGAAAACCTGTAAGTACAATTTTAAAATTTCACTGTACTAGACTTAAACTCTGAAAACCGTGATATGAACTATACATTAAAGGAGTTATAATCAGTATTTTCAAAAGTCCAGTTTGGTGAAAAATTTATATTGCACTTAACAAGTTTTCCCTTGGCTACACTTATCTATAATTACCAAAAGAAGTTCATATAAAAAGCAAGAGGAAAAATACAATAATCAATAGCGTACATACATAACCTGCATGAATTTGAGGTCTAAAAATTCTAATATCAATTACGTGAACTTGAGATCACAAACCCATTATGAGTGCCACCAAGGGAAAACCCACAAATTTATCTAATAAAATTTGCAGGTTTTCCTTTGGCGGCACTCAAATTATTATCGTTTTCAAAATTTCACTGTAGACTTTGCAAACTGTGATATGAACTATATATTAAGGGAGTTATAATCAGTATTTTCAGAAGTCCGGTTGGCGAAAAATTTAACAGGTTTTTCACTTATCTATAATTACCAAAAGAAGTTTATATAAAAATCAAGGGGAAAATCAATGGCATATATACAAACCTGCATGAATTTGAGGCCTAAATCATTCTAATATCAACACGTGAACTTTAGATCACAAACCCATTATCAATCTAATGAATTTGTAATCCAAATGAGTGCTGCCAAGGGAAAACCTGCAAATCTTATCTAATAAGATTTACTTTGGTGGTACTCAAAACATTATCATCTTTCAAAATTTTACTGTACCAGACTTAGATTCTGAAAACTGTGATATAAACTATATATTAAAGGAGTTATGATCAGTATTTTCAGAAGTCCAATATGGCGAAAAATTTACATTATACTTGATATGTTTTTCTTGGCTGCACTTATCTATAATTATTAAGACATGTTTTTTTAAATATATAGAAAGCAAAGGAAAAAATACATTAATGACGTACATACAAGCCTGCATGAATTTGAAGCTTAAATCATTTTAAGATCAATCGTGTGAACTTGAGATCACAAACCCATCATTTATCATATGAATTTGTAATCCAAATAAGTATCACCAGGGAAAACTCACAAATCTTATTTAATAAAATTTGCAGGTTTTCTTTTGGTGGCACTTAAATCATTATTGTCTTTCAAAATTTCACTATACTAGACTTAAACTCTGAAAACTGTGATATGAACTATATTAAGATAGTTATGATCAGTATTTTTAGAAGTCCGGTATGCACTTAACAGGTTTTTTCTTAGCTGCACTTACCTATAATTACAAAACATGTTTTTTTAAATCTTCAAAAAGTTCATATAAAAAGCAAGAGGGAAATAATTAATGGCGTATATACAAACTTGCATGAATAAAAGGTCTAAATCATTCCAATATCAATCGTGAGAACTTGAGACCAAAACTCACTATCTATCACGCAAATTTGTAATCCAAATGAGTGCCACTAAAAGAAAACCTGCAAATTTAGATTTGCAGATTTTCCTTTGGCGACACTCAAATTATTAGTCGATCGCAAGATTTACTAAACAGAGTATATAATTAAAGCTTGTTAATAACCAGGATATAAATTAATGTAAACTGGAAATAACAATAGATAATTTAAAAAAGGTAAAAATTTAAAATTTCCAACTCCAATTTTACTTGGTGTTATCCATATATTTTCAAATAGAGGAATTTATGATTGTATTTGCCATTACAAAAATCAATAAAATTCGTATATGGCACACTGTAAGTATTTAAATATAAAAGGAACCGTTAGTTCCATAAATCCTTTAGATAATATTCAGGTGAATACTTTCTTTATTATGTTATCTAAAAATTTACTGCAAAAAAGACAAAGAACGGCTGTTAGTGAACATTTAAAACAAAAAATATGTGAATATAGTCAAAATAATCCTAATCAAAAACAAATAGATATAGCGAACTATTTTAATTCTCAAGATCCCAATTTAAAATTAGATCGGTCTACGGTTTCTAAAATATTAAAAAATAAATCAAAATGGTTAATGGTTACTGAAAACCAATTAAATTCTACCGTATTTCGATATAAACAAGTGAAATATCCTCTATTGGATCAATCAATGAGAATCTGGGTCAAACAAGTTACTAATAGTGAAATGTTTTTAACTGAACTAATGATTAAAGAACAGGCAGCAGATTTTGCAAAAGCCTTAAACCTGGGTAAAGATGCTTTAAAATTTTTAAATAGATAGGTTCATAAGTTTAAACAGCACAATAATCTTAGAAATGTTAGATTACATAGAGAAGCTAATAGTGCGCCACTATCTTCGCTTCTGGAATATCGAGAAAAATTGCGTGAATTGATTGAAAACTATATGTTGGATAATGTGTTTAACGCAGATGAAACAGAGCTTTTTTTTCGTATAGCATCAGACTAAACACTTGCATCTCGATCAAGACCTGGATTTAAAAAGGTTAGTAATTATATTAGTCTATTCTGAATTAATTCTTTGTTTAACATAAAATATTTTTTGTAAGAGAGGAGGGACAATAATTTCATTGGCTATAAAAAAAATATAAAAAATAATACTGCAATTTGATAAGTTAATGTAATACTTTATATATATAGTCAGACCTCCCTAAATGCATATTCCTTAAATGAATAGTCTATGAAAGACTTCTCTAAATGCATGGCCTTGTTGACCCCCCAACTAATATAACACTTATAGATTTTTACCTCCCTAAATGCAATATCTTTTTAAATGCAAGATTTTTTGGCTGCCCCATGGCTATGCATTTAGAAAGGTCTAACTATATATATTTTTTAAAAAAATAAAGAGAATTATATAAAACAGAGAATTAATTTGGCATGCCTTGTAATTAAATTTAATATCGTTGTTGCTATTTTCTGATGGTCATTTCGCCAACAGATTATTTATCTGGTATCACATTGGGTTAAAATCAATATTTTAGATGCAGGTATATATTATTAGTAAATTATTACCTTGTGTGATATCAGGTAAATAGCTTGTAGTGAAGAGACTACCAGAAAAATTAGATGCAACCATTTAATTTACACATAATACATTTTAAACATTTAATTTTTGTATGATAATTAGGATCGCTCACGAATTACTATTATGTTAGCATATAATGCAAGTGGAACAGAAAAATTAAAACCATTAGTGATTAGGTCTTCAATTTCTCCTCGTGCGCTTCATAATGTTAATTATGATTCATTACCTGTTCTTTACCGTGCAAATTTACGAGTATGGATGCGAAATGATGTATTTTCTGAATGGTTAATAAACTTGAATCAGAGGTTTCGCATTTAGAATTGCCAAGTCTTGCTAATAGTAGATAATGTCTCATCGCATTTTCATGACCAATCTAATACTTGTGAATTAAATGAACCAATTGAATCAAATTCTGATTTGGATAAAGAAATATCCAATAATTCAGAAACTGAGATGACAGCTATTTCGCATAGAAATCGTTGAGGTTGAGGTCGACCAAGATTAACCAGACCCAATCAGGGCGCAAGTACTAGTCGTAGTAGTTGTAGTAATCGTGATACCTGTAGTAAACATAGCACTGGCAAAAGTAAAGGCCGTTACAGTAGTGGTTACGGTAAACTATGTAATATTGCTGATTATTCAAATATACGATTGACTAACATTAAACTTGAATTTTTACCTTCAAATATCACTGCTCATCTTCAACCCATAGACGCGGGTGTTATCAAAAGTTTCAAATTCAAATATAAACAAAAATATATTCGTCACATACTAATGCAGCTTAGAAACAATGAAGATTTAAAAAAGTTAAGAACTTACCCTGATAAAATTAAAAAAATTCATTGTGTTGAATGGCATGATTCGAATGCCACTCAAACTACCATTCAACACTACCACATGATTTCACAGACATGTGTGTCAGTAAAATCATGTGATAGTGTTGAATGGTAGTTTGAATAGCAGTTTGAGTAGTATTCAAATTGTACCATTCAACACAGTGAATTTTTAAATTTTACTAGTGTTATCCTTTAATTATATAATAATGTTTAATGCTAATTATATTTCAATTTTAATTAGAAAAAAATTAAATATTAAGGATGCTATTTACTATGTATCTGAGTCTTGGGATGCTGTTGAAGATACAGTAATCATTAATTGTTAGAGAAAAACTGGAATCTTGGCATCAGTCCCCGTGAAGAAATAGAAGTCGCTACCAATAGTCAGGATGCGCTATTAGAATAGCAAGAAGAGGATATCAATGAATTGGTAATAGATTTGACCTCTCAGGACCCGGACCCAGAAATAGAACACCAATTAAATACATATTTAGACCTTAATAATTTGCATATCATAACTGAAGAAAAGCTTGAGAATTTAGAGATTATTGAAATTGTTTTAGATGAAGCAAATCAACACGATAATGAAGATCCTGATGATTCGGACGAAGAACAACCAGAAATTCCTATTTCAGAAGGCTAATAGGTTTAAATAAATTTATTAGCTTCTTTGAACAACAAATTGATGAAGAGTTTAAAGCTGAGGATCTTAAAATTTTTCGAAAATACTTAGCTCTGATAAACAGAAAATATGTTGTATCTAAGTGCCAAACGTCTATTAATGATTTTTTTACACCATTAAATAACGAGAAAGATTATGATGTCACGTTGTGATGATTTTTTTTTTGTCTTCTATACATATATTTTATAGTATGCATATATTTTATCAATATTTTGATTATTCTCATTAATATTAAGAGAAAAATTGTAGTAACTTGCATGATAAGGCAAGACCAACTTGATTCTGTGGTTTACATTACCCTCTCCTCAGCATGCCCCCTCTCCCTTATAGTAAAAAAAATATACATAGAGCTATGGGTTATTTCGGAAAATTTTTATATAGTTATGGAAAAATTTGGAAAAATTTTTTTTTGAAAAAAAAAAATTTTATGTAAACCACAACCCCCTCTTCTGGAGGGGAGGGGGGTAATGTAAACCACAGAATCAAGTTGGTCTCGCCTAATTAGATATAGTCCTCAATATATTCAAAAAAATTTTTCAAGAATCAAAAGTATTTGGTGTGTTAAAATGCTTTTGGTGAGTCTATTATACTGAAAGTGAACATCCTGATTATAAAGTCATTCAATTTTAGGCATAAAATCATTAAAAACAAATTTGTATTAGCCTAATAAAGCAATTGAACAAA